GGGGGGTGTGAGGGAGACATAGAAGGATGAGGGGGGGAGTAGGGGGAGAGGATGATAAGGACAGGGATGCCAAATGACTTTAGAAAAAAAAAATGGAAAATGAGCGGAGCATCACACCTCACCTAAAACGAACCTTGTAAAATCTTTATAAATGAGCAAACAAAAACATTTCTCTTACCATTCACCTTTCCTTTGCAAATGTATGAAAAAAACTGAAAAAGCCGGAAAAACTGGAGATTTGGCATCCCAGTAGGGAGAAGGGAAAGGACACCAACAACAATGACTCACCGTTCTCGTCCCAGCTCTGCATGTCACAGCCCAGCAGCAGAGACTGTATCTCGCCCCGGTACACCGGCACTGTGACGTTGTGACCCATGAAGCAGGCGATGATGTCTGTCCCTCCTGGGAGATAGGGAAAGCCGTGAGGTTGTTACTGTTTGCGGGCAGCATTACATACAGACGCAAGTCATTTTTGGCAGCCTTTGAGATACGTATATATGCAAGACTGCCTGCGTGTTGTTGGTGGTGTGTTGTTCTTGTTCTTGTTGTTTTTGTTGTTGTTGGGTGTGGTGGTGGTGATGGTAGCGTGGCGTGATGGTGTGGTGGAGTTGGGTTGTGTTTGTTCGTGGCGTGGTCGTGGTGTTGTTGTTGGTGGTGGTGTTGGTGTTGTTGTTGTTGCGTTTGTTGGGGGCGTGGTGGTGGTGTTGTTGTTGGTGGTGGTGGTGGTGGTGTTGTTGGTTCTTGGTGGTGGAGGTGATGGTAGTGCGGTGGTGTGGTGGTGTTGTGTTGTGTTCGTTGTTGGTGGTGGTGTGGTGGTGTTGGGTTGTGTTTGCTGTGTTTGTTGGTGGTGGAAGTGGTGGTGTTGTTGATGGTGGTGATGGTGTGGGGTTGTTGTTGTTGGTGGTGGTGGTGGTGGTGTGGTGGTGTTGGGTTGTTATTGTTGTTGTTGGTGGTGGTGGTGTTGGTGTTGTTGTTGATAATGGTATCACTGGTGATGGTTGTTATTGTTGTTGTTGTTGTTGTTGTTGTTGTTGTTGTTATTGTTGCTGCTGGTCTTAGTGCTGTTATTGGTATTGCTGCTGTTATCGTCACTGCTGTTGAAGTGGCTGTTATCGATACTATTGCTGTTGGTGTAGTCTTTGCTTCCTGCTGTTCCTGCTGTCACTGTCTTCGTCACCATTGATGTTGTTGCTATCATTGAGGGGATTTTGTATATTGTAGATGGTGCTGTTGTTGTAGCTTTTAAAATAATAACCTACTTGTAGCTCATGAAATTTCCAAATTCCTACAAACAGAAAGATAAGGATGAGGGCGCTCTCTCTCTCTCTCTCTCTCTCTCTCTCTCTCTCTCTCTCTCTCTCTCTCTCTCTCT